AGGAAGGAAGGAAGGAAGGAAGGAAGGAAGGAAGGAAGGAAGGAAGGAAGGAAGGAAGGAAGGAGGAAGGAAGGAAATGGGGGGACGCTTAAAACTTGCAGTCACTGTGAGTCCAACCTGGCGGAGAAGCGGGGAGTAATGACCGCATCAGGTCACCTGTGCCGCCTGGAGCTCCCGCTGCAGCTGAGAAGCCCCCATGTGCGCCTGCAGCGCCCGCCCTCCATCGCAGTGACGAACGCTCGTGAACTGCCAAAGAGGAAAAAGGTGAAACCTGTAACTGCAGTTAGCTCGGCTGCCGCCTTCCAGCATGCCCCTGGCCACCCCTCGCTCTGCGAAGTGTCAGCGCAGCCCTTCCAAAGGGATCTTAACACGTGGACATGGCCTGCGTCCCCCTTTCCCTTGGATAGAACAAGGCATGGAGTTTGCCTCCGTGACTCTCCTCTCTCGGAGTTCCATTGCTGCCGGTTCCCTGGGCCCCGTGCTGTACCACTTTCCTGACTGGTACACTTTTGTTAATACATCCTGTCCGACTTCATTCAGGCGTGTACGGTATTCTAACACTTTAAGATTTTGCTTATTACAACTTTGCGTCTTCCTATGTTGGTATTTAACTTGAAGAAAGTAAACTTATTTCCTTAAACTGTCTACCATACTCCGCTAACACTGCACAGCTACATTTCTCTTAGTCTCATGTGTATGTCAGATGTATCATGTATATACAGATAAAGAGATAAAGCAGAAATATAGGTATGAGTGTAGACATAGATTCAGATAGATAGCTACATCAATGACAAGTATGTAGAAAATTATTTTTTAAACCATTCCTGGAAGTAGGGTTGCCTCCTATTTCTTTATCCTAGCAGCCTCCAATTACATATGGAACTTCCTTACTTACAAATATTTAGGAAAAAATGTATTTTATGACTTAGTCCCTCAAACCAACGTCTCACCAACGTTGTCAGCATAAATATTGTATTGTTTTGTTCTCGCTCATTCATTCAATTATTAAACAGATGTTTATGAAGGACCCATTGTGCCCTAGGTACAATAGTAGGCATTGTGAAATCAGTGACCAATGAGATGTCAATGGTCCCGCACCTCCTGGAGCTTCTGTTCTGGGAGGGACGAACAAACAAAAAAGAAACCAACAAAACATTCAGAAAACAGACAGCAACAACAAAAAAGATAAATTAATACAATAATTCCAAATCGTAACACTGACAGGCAGGATGCAGCACAGTGGTTAGAGAAGAAGCTAGTCAGCCAGGGTCAAAGCCAGCGTAGCCACCTGCTGGCTGTGCGTGCCTAGGTCGCCTCATTCTTAAAGAAGGGATGTCAGTATAACCACCGATGAGACTGTTGTGAATAGAATAATGTTGGACACCTAGTAAGCAGCATATGTTCTGTTTTTTAAGTTTTTAAAGAAAAACAGGATAAGATTGAGGTAGAAAAAAGAAACAACAGGATGAGCAGTGGAGGTCGCTCTGAAGAAGTGAAATTTGTCTTAGTATATAAACAACATGAAGGAAATGGATATGCAAAATGTGCCGAAAGAGCTGTCCCGAAAGGGGGAACCACCAGTGTTTTAGCCTAAAGCAGAAATGAGCTTGGCGAATGCAAAGAATAAAGGCCAGCGTCTGAGGCTTATTAAGCAGGTAAGAAGACGGAATTTGGGTGTCGTACACCTGAAACTAATATAATGTTATATGTCAATTATATCTAAATTTTAAAAAGAAGAGGCTATGGTCTTGCAAAGTGCAAACACTCACAGAGTAAACAGTTTTCAAAGCAAATGAGTTTCACACCACACGAAAACCAGAAGAGACGAGATACTTCTGTTTAGTTTCTCAGCATGCATTAGAAAAACCTTTATAGCATTTTGTTATCGAATTTATTGGGGTGACATTGCTTAATAACATTATATAGGTCTCAGGTGTACAGTTCTATAATACATCATCTGTATATTGTGTTGTGTGTTCAGCACCCCTCGTCAAGTCTCCTTCAGAAAAATCTTCAAATAGCCCTAGTGACTGAATCAGCCCTAAAGTCAGAATAGCTGGTAGGTTGTGAGTTGTGATTTTAACTGCCAGAAAGGACCTCTAAATCCCCTGCCCTTCTTTCTGATTCCGTCAATGATGTCTGAAACTCCTTTGATAATAGAGAAAGAGGTCTATCGTCTTATAGTTAGAGATAAATTTAAAATGCAAAGAATTGTTAAATTTACAGTTATGTGTGCTTTTTATTTTTTCCTGATTCTGATAATGGGTTACGTCAAGGAAGGAACTGAATGGTTGAGAAGGAGGAGACTGGGAACGTTGAAGACAAATATCATCTAATTCACATTTGCACCTAAGGCTGGCCTTGCACCCAGCTCTTCAAGATTTGAATAGAATTCCTTAATATGCTTCTTTCTGCTAAATTATGTCCCCTTTTCTTCCTTGTGATGATCCCAGTATTTATAGATATTCTGAACCTGTTCAGAAGCATTCTTTTGCATAACAGCTTCAAAAAAGATTAAGGAATTTGAGTTTTAGTCTCAGAGCAGTGGGAGGCTTTTGCTTATTTAATCTGGAAATGAAATGATTTGATTTGTATTTTAATATCACTACTACGTGCAAAAAAATTGGAGATACCAAAAGACAGACGTGGAGTCACTCACTCCTTAGGAAGCTGTTGCGAATGTCTAAGAGAAAGAACATGGTGGCCCAGAAAATGGTGACTTTTGGGCAGCCCCTAAGGATGGGGGCTGGTTGCTAGGGAAACCAACCAACATTAAAGGATTGGAACTTTCAGCCCCACTTCCTGACCTCTTGATCTGCGGAAAAATCCACATGTCCGGTGTCAGGAGTGTAGTAGTGTGAGAGTTAAGGAGATACACAGAGGAGGTGAACCGATCACCAATGGCCAGTGCTTTAGTCAGTCATGCCTATGCAGTGAAGCCTCCATAAAAGCCCAGAAGGATGGGGTTCGGACAGCTTTTGGGTTGGTGAACACATCCATGTGTCTGGAGGGTGGTGCACCCCAATGCCATGGGGACAGAAGCCCCTGTGCTCAGGACCCTTCCAGACCTTGCCTTATGTATCTCTTCATCTGGCTGTTCATCTGTATATTTTATTATATCCATTATAATAAACCAGTAACTTAGTAAGTAAACTGTTTTTCTGGATTCTGTGAGCTGCTGTAACAAACTAATCAAAACCAAAGATTGGGGTGTGGAACCTTTGATTGATAGCCAGCCGTCAGAAGCACAGGAAAGAACCTGGACTTTCGAGTGGTGTCTGAAATGGGTTGGGGGCAGTCTTACGGGACTGAGCCTTTAACCAGTGGGATCTGACACTATCTCCAGAACTGAGTTAAATTGTAGGACATGCAGCAGTTGTCACAGAATTGCTTGATCTGTGGAAAATCCACATATCTGGTGTCAGGGGTGAAGTAGTGTGAGAGTAAAGGAGATACACAGAGGAGGAGTGTTTCTCTTTATGGTGTGAGTCCCATAATGTAACTTTTTGCCAGACAAGCTGAGTCAGGTCCCAGGTAACAGCAGAGGGTAGATTAAGCTAGAAGCTCACAGCCTTTACTCAGGATTCTGAAATAAAACTTGGGTTACGGTGGCTCAGTAATCACCTCATACACAAACATGTCCTGGGGAAGAATTAGTTATTTCCTGGTTAGACTGGGATCCCAGGTCCTGGGAAAAAGAATTTTTATGTCTCAACATAAAACCAGAAACCTTCTTTTCTTAGGGAAATAGAAAGAGCAGACATTAACCTTCAGTCATCCCACTTCCAAGCTGTTTGATGTTATGTGGGGTCTTTACCTGCTCCAAGCCTCCACGACCTCATCTATAAATAAGAATGACTGCATCTCCTCCATGGAATGAGTGCTAATTTCTTTCTCCTTCCCAGAACCCTCCTTCTTACTAGGCCCAATACTCGTCAAGGATTTAGGGATTAAGGGGCAAAGACGGAGATAAAAAGCTTGTAGATGAGAAACTAGACCTGTTCTTGTGCGGAAGCTGTTTTGGATGTCATTAGACTGTAATTTAAGGAGACTCATACTGGAGAGCTCACATTTAATGTGCATCAGGATTTGTGTGGAAGTTAAAATAGCCCCAGGAGTGTATATGGAATAAAGAAAAGGGCTGAGAATGGATCCTGGGCAACACCCATACTTAAGGGGCAGGTAGGGATCCTCGAAGGAGATGTTTTTTCCAGAACTCTGTGTGTGTGCATGCGTGCGTGCATGCATGTATCCATATGAGCACTCACTTAAAATAATCTCCAGCTTCTCTAGTTCAAACTTTCTCTCTACCTATAGGAGCTTCCCCACCCCCACCTCCCACACTGGTGTCCTAGGGCATGGTTACAGAGGGTGCTCATACAAGGTAATGAATGAGCAATCCAGCAAAGTCTTGTGGAAAAGCAGCCGCCAGTTTAACGCAAATGCAGGAAGGAACAAGGCCCTCCCTATATCTCTGTGAGAGGAATGGGTGTAGACCCCGGGACACTGGTCATGGACATGTTGTTATTCAAGTGCAAGTGTACCTGACAGGGTATGAAGGCTCAGCTCTCGAGCCTCTCCTGGGCACAGAAATCACCTGGCCCTGGACGCTTCCTGCGCAGCTCCAGGGATTAGCTTCTAGGTTTCTGAAGGGCCCTATGGAAAACCTGCTTGTTGCTACTCTTCTCCCCAGTGTGTTTCCCCACCTTGTCTGTATGCCACCCCCAATATACTCCCACCTGCCAAACAAATCAAATTAAGACAAAACCTATTCTTCTTCTTTTCCCTTGATTTGATGGCCACTCAAATCTAGGACCCAAGCAATTAGCAACTGAAAACTGGTGCCTCTTTCTGAGATATTTCCATCTATCCAGAAAGTGCTTTCCATTCTTCTATTGCAGTAAGTAAAAGGGAAAAAATAAGATTCCATATTAAGAAAAACAGAAAATTCATATCTTGCTACATACATCTTAAATATAGTTGAGATCATATAATTTTGTATCCTGCTCTATTAATTTAATGTTTTAGCCTAAGATTTTTTTTTTTAATCAAAATACTTCCTGAGCATCATCTTTAACAGCTGCATAATTGACCACTTCCTATTATAGTATTTTAAAATCATTCCTGCCTCCAATCTCACGGTCCCCCCCTTTTTTTAAAAAAAAAGATTTTTTATTGAGTTTTAGAGAGAGGGGAAGGGAGAGAGAGAAACTTCGATGTCAGAGCAAAACATCGGTCAGCTGCCT